TGTCCTCAGTTTTAGTGAGCTGTACCTAGAACAAGAGGACACTTACCAACCCAGGAACAAAATGAACATCAAAATACCAGGTGTTTATTTCAGAAGATGCAGCTCAGAATTCTTCATTAGTTTAGAACTTTTTCTTATATGAAATTTGGATGACAGAATTTACCTCCATCAGTCTCATATAAAAAAATGCTAATTTCTCTGCTGAAATAGTTCAGGTTATTTCTCCTGTATATGCGGGATGGTAGAGCAGCAGCATCCCTCCACACTGTAATAATGTAAAAAACCTAATATTGAGCAACTTGAATGCTTCTCTTGTCATATATACTTTTAAGGGGTTTAACCTTTCTCTGAGTAGGAGTGTTTACAAAATGTCACTTGGTGAGTCATACCACACTTCTGCTTGCGCCTCAAGTTTCAGCAGATAAGCTCTGAAATGAAGCGCAAATAGGAGCCCAAACATAACAACATACATTAAAAAATACTGTGAAACTGTTGTGCATGAACTTGGACCACACAAGCTCTCTCTTGGCTGTATTTTTCTATACTTTGTGACATAATAGAGTTGTACATGTTCCCTATACACATAGATACCCACCCATACACAGTATTTCTCATCCATCATGTCTTAAGAAGCAATGATTAGCCAATCTTACCTCATTCTCCTCCACATACAGAAGCCCAGATGCAGAGGGAGAGTTGTTTCTAAATGTATTGGTTTTTGAGAGTTTCTGTGGCAGCTTTGAACGTTGCTGGTGGGCCTAACCTATACCCTGAGACCATCCCTAGAGGATATAGCTTAACATAACCACCTACAATCTGCATAAACAAAAGTATTTTAACTGGTGTACAAAGCCCTGTAGAGCTTGCGAATCTAAAACAATTTTCAAAATGACAGTACTGTCATGCCTAGTGTAGTGAAAGTTACTTTGTCTATGTGAGAGAAATTGTAAACTTTGCAAATACCATGAGATAGTGTGCTAAAGGGGATCATAATTTTTATCATTAGTTGAAACAGTTCCGAGATATCAACCAGAGATCTGAGTCAGGAAAGAAATCTTTTTAAAGACATACAGCTGTAGCGTTTATTTTTAACTGTAGCCTATGGCATCTTGGCTTTGGGACCTCACCTGATGAAGAATTTTACACCACCTCACATGCTGCTTTGTACTCTGTTTTTAGGTACGTATTTTAACCCAGAGCTAGCAAAACCCACCAGCTCCACAACTCGGCTGTGATGCCAGATACACCTCTTCATACTAATGCTCAGAATTTATTTCAAAGTTGAACACCAGGGAGGATGTCAGCTGAATTTTGCAGGCGAGAGATCAATAAATGGATGCAGTTTGAAAAGTTGGCTACATTCCTTAATGATCCCCACGATCAACTGAAATTTTTATCATTTTATTCAAAGAAACCCAGTTGCCAAATTCCTGATCATTCTTCCCACACACTGAAACCAAGGAGAAGGCAGAAAAATAAGTGTAGAATTGCCAAACAAATCACAGCTACTTTTCTGACTTTTGCCAGCTTATAGTGAAACTATAAGCTTCACTATAGTGAAGATAAAACAGATTCTAAAATAAAAAGAAATTGCAAAGTGTGTTTTGACTTTTAAAATTCTAAAAAAAAAAGGTAGCTAGAAGAGAAATTATTTTTAGTCATTCTTATTAGAGTTAATATTTTGGATCATAAAAAAAGTTTTTTCACCTAATTCTTGTTAGCCATCATAAAACTGCTTTCTGTTTGACAGACACTTTGATTTTTCTGAGCATATATAATGCATCATACTGCTAACAGGTTGAACAACTATTTTTAAGTGAAAACATAGATGCATAGGTTGCGTTGGCCACACCTACACCTGGTTCTACTGTCTGACCATATCCCTTGATACTGGTTCTTCCTAAAGGTAACTTGTTTTACTAAAAAAATTCTAATTTTTTTGTAGCCTAATAGAAGGGTTTAAGATGATAGCTTAGTTTCTAATCTTGAGAACGACAAATGCAATTAATTCTTCTGTGCTCCCATTTCTTGATGGACTGCATTCACAAGGAGCACTGCAAATTTTTGCCATATAATTTCACAAAGCTTTGTTCTGATCCAAATTTTTACTTGGGAGTTGAAGGGGAGAACTGACACATTACAACTTGTAAAACTATCCTGCAGCTGATGCAGATACTTGTTGCTTCCAGAGTAAAGACCTGGTTGAACGTGATGCTCTGAAAGAACCACAGTCTGAGCGGGCAGATGTGTTACTACTATTGGCAATAGGGCTGTCAATGGACTTCAAGTTTGCAAGGTTGTGCCATATTTACTTCAGAGTAGCCCCACCGATTGCAGCAGATGAACACAAATACGCCTCGATGGGATCCTCGCTCAGACAAAGCTTTGAGGCAGATATGCCTAGACCTGCAGCAATCCCTACCTCTAGCTGATGGGCTTTCAAACTCAGATAAGCTGGTATATTGGTAGATATACTAGAATAATTAACTTTTAAAACAGAAAAAACTTAAACTCTCCTTTTGCCTTGTCTGTATTTGCTGCTGCTTTATTGCTCCCAGGCTTAGTTTATGTCACTCAGCAACTTTCTGAATGGCGACCAACTCTGCTCAGACTCCTCTGGTCCTAAACTGTGTGCCTGATACTCCCATTTCTCCTAGATGAGATCAGCACAGTTAACAAAGAAATTTTATCGCAGTAGGCATAGTGTACATGTTTCCCTGTCATAGACAGGGGAAACAGAGGGACTTAAAAGTTCTGTGCCTTGTGATGCTTCATGTAGAGGTGGTTGACAAAAGATTTTATCAACCCATTTTCTTTAAAAAGCGCTGTTGCACAGGACACATAGAAGACAGCAGCAACTAGTCTTGCAGAAAGTACTGACTGAGAAAATATATTTTTCGGTGGGCCTAGCAAACTGGCAGAGCTGCACTTGTAGAAACTTCCCAACCCAATCCTTTTCTATACATACTTGATCCTTCTACCACCTATGGCAGCATAATGCTTTAATCATAGAATCGTTATGGCTGGAAAAGACCTTTAAGATCGTCAAGTCCAACCGTTATCTAACTCTACCAGGCCTAATATAACCCCCTCTAGGAAAAGCCACTTAAGCAGATGCATCCCCTACAATTCACTAATTTCCTATCGTTCATTTGCACCCCATAAAGTGCACACAGAAGAACAAAGTAGTCTACCTTCCTGCTCAGCTGGGTTAATTTTTTTTTTATAATTTTTTTTTTTTTTGCAATAGTTCAGGTTTTGTTCAGTTCTGTTTTGATCCATGTGACAGGTAGTTTTACCCAGAAAACACAAGGTCTAACTTTGATAATGTAAGTATAACTAAACAGAAAGTTATTAAGTGATTCATGAATGATCTAAAATAAAAGATGGAAAAATTAAATATACCACATGGCATTCTGCAGCCTGTGAAGAAGGAAGAACTGTAGACTTTTGTCCCAAATCCTTTGAAGCCATCTTTGAAGTGTCTGGAGAAACACTAGGTGGATGTTCTTGGATTTCAGGCTCTGCTTTACTGTCAGGGATGGGAGCTATCTGAATGGAAAGAGATGCTGTGTGTTTCTCAGGCACGGGGTTACAGGCAGGTGAGACAGGCCTTTGTGGAAATACTGGCACTTCAACAGGCTTGAGCTGTTGCTGGGTATTACAACGAATGCTACTCGCTGGGTCGCGTGTCCGGGTTAATTTCAGGGTAGATACCCTACGTTTTTGAGACTGTTGCCTTTGGCCTTGATGGAGAGTAGTACTAATACCAGCTACTGTGCTTGTGCCTGCACTGGAGACGGAGGTCAGCGGTTTAGTGATTTTTTGTGCATAGGACACACTCGTGTTAGATATTTGAGAAGACATTGTCTTCTGGACAGACTCCTCGTTAGTGTAATAGGCAGTATCTGTGGGAAGGTGTTTAGCTGGACCAGTTGTTACTGCCTGGAGATTAATTTCGTTCTTGTGATTAGTAACTCTTGCTTTCCGAAAACTTTCTTTTCTAGGGGGTGGCAGAGGTGCCTTATTTGCCAAAAGCGTCCACACACAGCAAAATAACATTGAAGAAGAAACAGAAAGAAAGTAAATGTTAGCAGGAGATACAACTCAGTTTGACTTCTATCTTTAAATAAAGGAACTAGCAACTTAAGGGGCTTCATCCCAACATTGCTCAATTCAACAGACAATTGAATTGGTCAGGTTCCCACCACCTTTTACTGTGCAGGGCTGTACAGTTTGTGTTTAGGAAGCCAGATGTTCCATTTGCTCAGAGTAAACTGGGATCAGAAGGAAGCCCACAATAGTCCATTTTCTTTTAAAAAAAGCAATTATTACACTGAGTAAGAATTATTCCTGTGAAATTTTTCACATATGTAAGTCATTTCCAAATGTACTCCACAATCTTACATAACAAGCCATTATTCACAGGTAACACACATACATGAAACACATAGAGCCTATTAAACCTTTGAATTGAAATAGTAACAGAGACAGTATTGACGTTGTTATGTTGGTCTTTTTTTGGACAGATAAATACGTTTCCAAGTTAAACGTTGAGTTTTTTTAATGTACTCTAATTATACTGTCCTGCAAAACAGGCAGAAACATTTTCTACCTTATAATTAATAAACCTTTATCCTCAGATATTATTTTGATGACCGGTGCATTTCTCCGAGTGTAAAATATTAATAAATAGTCTTTGAAGTCTGGGAACATGCCTAGAAAGCTTTTATTTGTGTATGACCTACTTTCATTTAAGCTGGCTGTCTTTTTCATTGAAAGCAATTTCTGGTAATTAACCTGGAGGTATGCATCCTGTGTGGAGAATACCTTAGCTATGCAGTAAACCAGTTTGTAATGACCCATATGAACAGGTGATTCAACTATCTGGAAGACATCAGGAAAACGTTCCACAGAGGTATCCCATCTATATATGCTGTCCCCCAAGAATAACCCCCACGCAAATGCCACAGCATGAAACTTGGTCTGTTCAGTTTTACCTGAGTTGGTGATTTTTTATCCTGTAGATTTGGCCGCACGCTCCTAAAACCTTTTGCTGTAAGAGATGAACTGCTAGCATCTCCATTCAGTGCCTCTCTACTTCCATCATTGTAAGATCTCCAAGCTTTTGTAAGGAAAAAAGAATCAAAGGAGGTTTTTTGTGATTAGTAGATCTGCATATTGCTATCATCACAGCAACCCGGCCATTAAACAAACTGTGGAAAAGTTTAGCTACTACACAACTGACATTGCCGCTGTTATCCCCGTGGAAGTTTTAAGAACAGTGCTAAAGCTGCCGCTTTACACAATATTGATCTTTAAAATTTAGAAAACTCAAGCGTTGACAATACTGCTGGTAGCAGTTTGACACCTCCCCACAGCTTTCATAGAGACTATGGGTTTTAACCCTGAGAGTCCTTTTGAGACGTTGGTGCTTCAGCCCCTATATAAAGCAGGCTGAAGTACTTTCACAGATTTAGTTCTTGAACTTCACAGCTGCATCGGACTTTGAAAAAAAATCCCAGGTCATGTGAAGTTAGTTGGTCATGGTAGTTTCACCAAATTTCACCACAATACCTGATTAATTGTTCCAATAACATATCTTATTTCCAAATCTGAATGACACCTCCATTTTCCAACCAACCAACTAACCATGTTTTGGCTCTGTCCTCAGAGCTGGAAAGCCCTCAAGGGATTGTCCAAACATAGAGGGGGATACTATCGTGCTTCAACAAGTTAAAGATTTGAAGACAAAATATTGTAAGAGGCTGGGAAAAGTAACACATTATGTGAGCAGGCTGCTAAGTGGGGTGGGCAGAACTTGCAATCCTGAGTAAGGGACTAAAAATGAAACTGCAAGTGCCACTGAAGCTAAAGGTGGCAAATTAGCAGTCTGTATTCTCCCACACAATTCATTTTCTGACAACATATACTGTGTTATAGGAAATACTGCTTTCAAATGAGACCTGAATTTGAGGTCTTAACCACTTGCAATTATTATTACAATTTCAGTGGTGCTTTCCTTAAAGAATGTGGATGTACAGAGTAATGAAATCAAATAAATGGAAGATCGTTATAATTCATCCACTTACATGGTATTACACTGATGCATGAATAACTGTTTTATTTACCTGAATCCGGAGACTGAGAATCAGACCCTGAAAAAGAAACATCCAATATTAATCCCTGTTAGAAAAAAACCACATGATGACGCTACTTGAAAAATATGTAGGAATCTTTTTGTTCGGCTACCTAATTCCTTCCTGTTACCTAAGCACACCTCAGAATATTAGACCATAAGTAACTGTGCAACACTTATTGCACAAGTTCTACAGAAGGTTATAGTGTGCTGAGTTACTGTTAATTAATCACTGCTATTTCAGACAGCCAATAATAAACAAACATTTGCTGTGGTTGTTTTTTTTTCCCAGTGAATACTGTGATATATTACCATCTAAAATCTAGATATCAAAAGAAGTAACATTCCTTTAAGATGAGCTAGAAAGGTTTAATTCAACCTCAAGAAAGATGCCTAGAGATTCTGTCAGGATTTTCTCTCCCCCTTCACACCAGAATGTGTGATGCTTTCTTCATCACTTCAAAGCAAAACACAGAAACTGACACATACAGACTGCCAGCACAGAACAGATTTGAAATTCTGGTGATGTTCTGGCTTACTTGTAGATATATTTGTGATTTTTCTCCTAAAGAAACTAACATTACATCTCTAAAGAAATTTAAAATATTTTTAATGTACAATAATTATAGTACTAAGAGCGCTCCTTATCACCAACTTTAAGTGCAACAAAGCAAGACATTAAGAGGCTTGTATTGCATGCTTAAATGATAAAAAATTGTTAGAAGGGTTGCTAAGAAATAAGAACCCAATGTTTTCTTAAATTTACACACACGCAATAATCCCAACAGCCCTGCTGCTATCCTTACAAAGAATTACAACCGAATTTTTAATTTGCTTCATAAATTTTAACAATTCTTATTCCTGGAGATTAGTCTTATATTTGAAAAGATCTACAAAACAAAGACTTCATCTCGCAATTATTTTCTGGCTCATTCTTTATTCAGCTTCCTGTATTATGCCTGTTTGGTGTGAACACTGCATGTTCAGACTGGTGTAAATTAGTCTATGCCACTCAAGAGTCTTTACTGATTTATACTTACAGCTAATTAATTCACCAGTGAACCTGGGCAGCCGATACCCATTATGATTTAATTTTGCAAAACCAGACACGAGTATTGCTAAGAAGCAGTTCTGCCTGTCTACTGAATATTCTGCATGTTTTTATTGTTTTAAACATTTTTAGGAAAACATGCTTGATAAATGATTTTTTTAAAGCTAATCTGGCTTCTGACAATCATTTTGTAACAACGTTCAGATTCTTTGCCTTTGAGACACATTTTTAAAGCAAGTTGCACTAAACTAAGTGTTTAATAAACAAAAGCTAATTTTCATGCTATGTTATCTTGAAACAAAATGGGATATGAGACCAAAAATATGCATCAAAGGCAAAATGAATTTATAAATACCTGATTTTTCCTAAGTCTTCCTATTCTGTTTTTTTTTTTTTTTTTCATTTATGGCTACTAAGCATAGGCAGAGAAAAATTAAGGCTACTTTTTAAAGAGCATTGTAGAAGTAACAGACCTGTCAGTGGAATAGAAAAATACGGTTACCCTCGTCCTCCTTGCAGAGTAATATTGCAGGTTTTTTTACAGAGAAGCAATTCAGGAGGAGCAGCTCCCTGGTTAGCGGATATACCTGAGGCCAATAGGTTTGGAGAACTCTGAACTCTCTTCACAGCTGTTAATGTGACAGACATGGCAGCACGTTTGCGAGCACACCCACCGCTATCTGGAAGCACAAAACAATACAGACAGCAGCCCCAGACAAAGGGAGCAAGCACATGCAACGTATCCCCGGCTGAGATACGCCAAACGTACATGAAAATAAGCGTGCAGTTAGGGCACTGCTGCAGGAACGTGGTCAATTTGCAAGTTTTGCAGATTAGCAGAATACATAAAATTTCACAAGCTTGAAACAACAATAAACCTCACAGAAAATAAGTAAAGAAAGCAATATTTAATACTTAATCTGCTAGGGAAATATATACATTCTGTTACCTGAAAGACTGCTTAATTATAATTAGTAAAAACAAACAAGTAATCAAGATGAAGGATTAAGCATTCCAGAGTAATATTAATCAATAATCCGCACTGTAAAATCATTTCATTGTCTGCATTAGAAAGACACCATTCATAAACAAAGCTTATGTTTGATCAGCTGACAAAGTGCTTTTGTTCAGTCTTTTGGATCCTTTAAGCTCAAGAAACAAAACTACTGAGGATGGCATAATTTTTTTTTTTGTTATTTAGGTGGAACATCCTTGTTCTCCCTCCCCCCTCTTCTTTTTTATCTAATGGAACCCAATAACATCCCGAGGGAATGACTAGAAATCTAAAATCAGTCCAAAAAACCAGGAATGGAAAAAAACCCCTTCTTCTAGAGCTTGCATGACTCCTTTCTTTTCTTACTCTCAGCTTCTGTCTCACTTGGAGCTGTCATTCTGCTTTATAAATACTTTGTTATTATTAGAAGGTAGCTTTCCCACAATTAGCTTTTTAGCAACTCTATCACAGTGGTAGAAGCAAGTTAATAAATATTTTTCCTGATGATATTTAACCAGACTATTTTTCTGCTCTTCAATATAATAATTATTCCAATTTTCATATTTGATATTACTGAAATTTCATACAGAGCTCCGCTGAAGTCAAGAAGAACCACAACTACGACAGAGGCCCTAAGGGTTTCTATATCTGTGTCCTATGACAGGGAGGTTTACAAAGTTATACTTATGGAAGACCTGCAACCTATTAGTAGAAAGCATTTCCTATGGTGGCAGTAATCTGAGCCACAGAGACATCTTTAAACCACGTCTGCAAGAGAAGTGAGCTCCTGGTATTTCTTTGCTCATTTCGATATTCCCCCGAAATAGCAGAGCCCTCTGGCCGCAGGTCTTGCAGGATACGCATTAAAGAGTTGTTAACGTTGGCAAACATCAGAGCCACTGCCCCAGGTGTAAGCGGTTCCGAAGACTTATTGCCAATTCCAAGTCTTGAGGCAAAAGGCCAAATGCCTTCAGTCAGCAATAGTTGAAAGCAATATATTACCCGCATTAATTATTGGTGGTGTACACATGAAACAAAGACAACAGCTATCAAATCTGCACATTTGTTTCAGTTTGCTTACATAAATATAGAATGGCAATGGTAATTAAAATCACATTTTCCATTCTTGTATTCCCTCCCCTCCCCAACACACAGCAGAAGTAATTCTAAGGAGATTTGATGATGTGTTGATAGCGAGGTTCTGTTCTTATCTGAATATTGGCAGACTTTGACAGCATGCTTTATTTGATTAATACAAGCTAACAGGCAAACAATATTGTTATACTATCGCATCTTTTATTCAAACAAAGCAATGCTTTATTTGTATTTTTTTCAAGAGCTACCTTCCTGAATGTCAGGATAGAGAAACTGAAATGGGAGGAAAGGAAGAGAATGAGAAAACTGACTACAAATATTCCATCATTGTAATTTCAAGAAATTCTGCTCCAAATTAATTTTTAGTGTAACTGAACTGATTCAGATTTTCATACTCAGCGGACCCATTATCTCACAAAGTACTTGACATGGCTTCATACAAGATAGCTAAAACAGATGTTGTAATGGCTATATAGATATATGCATACAACATTTACCCTTATGTATAGAAGCCCATACGCCAGTCTGTACCTGCAATAACATTCTCAGTATCTGTACAAAAGGATAAGAGTCAATTAGCATTCAGTTAAGACATAACCTCACAAATACACCATATTGGGTTGTGCAAAATTTCTAATAAAATATGAATGTGTGTGGGCGAGCACATATTTATGCATGATGGACTCCATCTCCCCATCTTTGTTCAAGCCAGGCTCCCATTAAGTCAAGGGCATTTGGTCTGAATGAAGATCAGAAGAATCCACACGCTGCCTCAAAAAGAGACAGTTTTCAGACTGCTTCCCTTATCTGCACGGCCTTACACAGTGGAACTTCAAGAGGTTTATTTATTCCAGCCTGCATTCCTTTTTCATAGCTCCATCAAATTCCCAGCAAATACTGACTATATTCACCCAGATTCTTGAAGTCCAAATAATACCAAAAAGCTCCAAGTCTAGAGAACAGAGAATTCAAAAACAGTAAGGGAGGCTGAATTAATGATCATCTGCTCATTTCACTTGCAAGCTATAAGCAATTAATATTGCATGGCTGTTACTCAAGGAACAAATGCAGATATGTGAAACAATCCATACAAAATGCATGCATATATAAAAAAATGAAACGTGTGCAAATATGTATACACACACACACATTTCTCTACGCTTTTAACATGACAAATTCTTCAGGAGTGAGAGTCCTGTCTTCCTAGGTATTGTTTTAACATTGAAGCAAAGGATCTGAATCAGCTAAGGTCTGCAGAAGATGAAGTTGGGCAATAATTCACAATCAAAACAGCTGCCTCAAATGCAAGTCCAGCTCAAATCAGGACTTAGCATGGTTGGTGCCCAGATATTCTTTTGCAAGCCCTACATACTCCTATCAAATCAGGAAAAGACAACTAAGCATCCTTAACAGGTACTGCAGAAAATGAAGGAGAAAGAGGAGGAAAGGATTATCTGGTGAGACATATTTCTGACCGTATCTCGCAGAGCAAAGGCCTTATAGGGACGAACCCCTGAATGCTAAGATCAATGTTGCAGACTTACCTCTGAAGAGGGAAAAAGAAAGACACCCACTGACTGGAAAAGACAGGCGAGGTGGTGGCTTGCCCTCCAGCTAGGAGGATGTGCGTATGTGTCTAAGTATCCTAACGCTCTCCATGGCAGTGCTCTGGATGCTCTCTTCCTCTTGTTAGCTCGCCATTCAGCTCCTCTCCCTTTGCCATCACCCCTCCTACAATTTTTCAATTCAGCCTTTTTTCCATTCCTCATCTTTCCTCGCTTCTCTCTCTCTCCCTAATTCTGTTTCTCTCCACAAATATGTACTTTAACCCTTTACCCCTAAGTCCACCACCCCAACAACCACTCCCACTATAACAGACAGCATCACCCTGAGCGAGCCGCATCTCTATTTGACAAATAGTCTGTTGGTCAGGTCCTGCCCCAAAGCAGAATGGAGCCAATTCAAAACACCACCACTTTCATTTAGGAACATGTGGTGTTTTGTTTTTCGGTTTTTTTTTTGTTTGTTTGTTTTTCAAAGACTTTCAGAGAGTCAGTAGAAGCAGTGGCACAAACCAAGCTGGCAAAGAAGAAAGGATGGTGACCTCTTGTGAAGAGGTGAGAGAGAGCAGCCGGGGGCAGGAAATTTTTAATTAGTTCTTACAGCTCAAAAAAAAAGAAAAACGGCACCCAAATATAATGTTTGCTGATCATTACTCTATCCACTGTACTTGTGAACGGTATCATTCTCCCCTTTGTCTGCTCAGTGAATTCAAGTTTAGAAGTCTTTAGACCAGGGATTCTTACTCCCTATTTGCCTTCTGAGGCAAATACATGGTGTTGGAGCCACCAGTCCAAGCCAGATGAAGCTGCTGCCTTTCCACGTCCCCAGGTCCAACCAGCAGTGACTCTGGAGATGTTGCCCCAGCAGACACATGCACAAGAGCACGTGTGTACACCCCATACATACATGGCTGGCCATGCAGATGACAGACGCTTAGAGCACTCAAACTAACACAGATGGCACAATGGCTTTATCAGCCTCTGGCGGAGCAGGATGAAGGTCCACTAGTGAGAATATATGTACACATATATGCCCAGCAACTGGGCTCAGATACTGAGCCTGCCATTCATTCCATGCCTGGTCCCCAGGGCTGAGGCTCTTCTGGGATGGTCCAGAGAGGAACCTGGACAAGGGAGGCTCTTGTGCCTCCCTATGTTTCTTCAGAGTCCTTATTTTGGGTTCTTGCCTGCCCTTGTGCTCCTTGAGGCTTGTGGAGATGGGCTTGTGGAGATGGGCTCCTGTGATGGGCCTGGGAGTAGCCTGGCAAGACAGGCTGTTACTTGGGCTTCCCCTCCTGCCACTGGTTCTCCCAGCTCGTTGGTGGGCTTGCAGAGGGGCTTCTATCACGTAACCCAACATTGACTACACAGGTGAACCTACTATTATTTGGTTCTTTGATGTTGCTAAATTACAACAAATAATGATTAAAGAAGTAAATTTTTTGCAGAGTACCCGAAGTATTCAAGCCCACCTAATTTGCTTTAGTGATCTAAAAGTGGCTTCACAGTCTATTCAGGAACTCTGCAGCGACCCAAGAATTTCTATTCTTGTCTCCCAGATAAACTGTGATTAGTGCATGTGATGACTACCATTAATAATTTTAACAAACACAAAATATTTGCAGTCTTCCAGAACTGCATACTTTTTCACTCTTGGCTGCTCTTCATGTGCTTCATCTCCTGCAAACAGCTAACTTGTTTAATAATTTTAAAATTAGATGCATTTACCAAGAATTATCTGTGTGAAACTCAGCCAAAATATTTATGGATGGACACTAAGAATCTGGTTTAGCCTATTAACTTGTATCCATTCATTATTCCTCAATACAATTACCTCTCCCCCAAGATGAGCTATGCATGCACAGATATAGTATGAGCAATAAGCACATTTACCCTGTGTTTTAATCTGATGTGAGCTTCATGGGTAGCTCAGGTTTTCTGTGACTTAGTTTCTCAAAACATCTCACCAAGTTAATGATGCTCTTCAAATCTGTGAAGTACTTGAAGACTTGTTGATGAAAACCCCTATATATAGTTTAAAACATTACTCTATTGAGGATTGCTTAGTCTGGCTTTAAAAAGGCACACATTCTGTTAGAATACTATTTTTAAATTATGATAGCATTTGAACACCAAAAGGAACTATGAGCCAAAGTACCGTTGGTCCTTCTGAAAACCTCCCCTAGATCTTACATCTATTTCTTTGCTTTTGCAAACATGTTTCATCGCCTTATGCTGTTGAACATTCCTTCCTAACATGTGGTACAGAATTAACATCAAATGCTAAAAAATCCCTCCCATATATGGTAGAGTATTGAAAACCAAAGCTCTTCAAAACATTTTCTCTGTAGACAAAAATATCTTCCGCAGGGTTCGCTGAGACAGGCTGCCAAGTCTGCAGCCACAGGGAACGCTGGATTAGAGGAGCCCACTCTAAGCAGTAGATTTACTTTTCCTTTTTAAAGCTGCATACAGGCTAGCTTTGCCACTTCAGCAGTTACTGGCATCAAACTAGAGTGAGTGCTCATTTATCTGTAGAAGTAATTAATGAAATGCATATTTTTAGAACAAACTAGTGGCAAATCACTAGTATCTGATAACTTCCAGTTGTGTCATGCACAAATTCCTGTTATAAAGCAATGACATATATATAAAAAAAATAAAACAAAAGAATAGCACCACTCATTTTATGTTCAAAGACAACATAGTGTAAAAAAAAACCTCAAAGAAACAAGAAAAGAGGAAACAGCTAGACCAGAACACCATGCAGAACAGCTTCCAACTCACTCATGCTCTTCCTTGGTGAAAGTGATGCTTTATCAACACATAGGTGCAAGATGTTCACTTTTACACCCTACTCATTGGATTTTATTCTTTTTTTTACAGTCAGGAAACACTCTACAACAATAGAAATGATAGGAAATACCACATTTTTTGTCAATACCTCCTTTTAGTGCAGCTGGTAACACGCACATTAATATCAAGTGTAGACAAGATGAAAAATATTTTCACTGTGTAAGTGCAGAGTAGATTAAAGCTCAGCTGACTATCATGATATCTTTAGGTAACTGGAAAGGATTTCAGGTGCGTTCAGGTTTTTTAAATCGGTTTTCAAGGCTCCTGTGTGATCAGAAGACTCCCAATCCCCAACAGAAGCCATGGATCACTTAAATCTTACGTCCATTTCTCTTGAGAATTTCTAGCTTACATGAAAAATCAGTACAACACAGAACAAAGTGATACTTCAGAGCTGCAGTAGTACAAACTGGCAGTTTACTGCTCTGAAACTATCCAAATTTTTCAAAGTAGAAGCTATAAAATGACATCTATCATATGATTTTAACTCATACGACTGCAAAGCACAGTGTAATCAGTCAAACGTATGATGATCAGCTGAGTTACTTCTGAAATTACAGTTCCATTAAGCAACTAGTATGTCAGTGCTACCTTAATTATACAGACTGACGTGCCTAGGAAAGACGTCCTCCCTAAAAATGCAAGAGGATAGGGCATTTCCATAAATGAAAAACACACCACCCTGGTTAGCATCTGTAAAAATTAAGAACAACCAAAACTTTAGGGAAAAAAACCCACAAACGCAACTGAGAATTTTAAATTCTACATTTTTAAAAATGTAGTGGTTTCAAGTGAGACAATATATTTCAACTTTGTATTAAAAGATCTGTCCAAGAACCTGGTCCTACTGAGTTCCAGTTATTGAGGTAACCGGAAGCCAGGAAGGCTGATTAATCCGGTGCTCTAGGTCATGGCAGCCTATAGCATGGAAAAGCTAATCCCTTCGATTTAGAGCATGCTGCTGAAACCCCCGAACTAACTTCAAAGGTAGTTCAGGTCCTCAGGTCCCACGTAACCCATTTTCCTTATTTCAAGTTGTCATAGTGCAGCCCTACGGTCAATGATAAAACCAACTGGTTTGGAGGCCAGGATTTCACCAGTCTGCTTTTGGGAAGTTTATTCCCACCTTCCAGCAAGACCAGCAGCACTATCTATTGACTTTGACGATTCAGAAGCAAACATTAACACGTTGTCACAGATCATGAGGATAAGTTCCTACAGAGTACTTCATTTGGTCAATACATCTATCACAGCAACTTGAGAGAAAATACAAATCCGTCCAAATACAAAATAGTTATCCTCATCTGATTATGCAAGTGCAGCTAATAATACAAGGTAGTATTTTTATGGCCCTTAATTTAATGAAAGTAGGGAATGAAAACAAAGCATTTTCAAAGCACGTGCATTTTCATAGGAAAATGTGATGCTTTAAAACCACTTTTTTTTAGCTGTTATGTCCTCGTATTACATATTTTTACATAAAACATACACATACAAACCCGATACTTACAACTTAAGCACAGAAAGCTAAACATGCATGTATACTTCACATATCCATATATATCCATACATAGAGAAGCATGTATGTCAATTTTATATATGGACTACAAATGCACATAAGCAGACATACTAGTAAAATACCTTGCTTAATTTGAGTTCAGCACCAACTAAAGTACAGTTTGTTCATGAAAATTTAAGCAAATTTGGGACCTTCTCTGCTTACTAAACAACACGTAAGAGGAAAGAAAAATCTCACAGAAGCAGCATACCTGTGTTCATTTTGACACTGGAGGATTTGCTATAAAAGTCTTCAGATTTCCTGCAGAAAATAAAATGATCTATTAATTTGCACAAGACAAGAATGTGTGGTACAAAATGGCAGCAGGACTTCTCAGAGGGGTGGAGAATCCCTGTGATACAAATGACAGTCCTATTTTAACACAGCTTTAATTAAATTGGTACTGCTTGTCCTTCCAAAGTTAAAGATGAGATGTCACTTCCATTATAAGCTACTCTGTTTTCAAGGGTTTCATATCTCTGTTGTAAACATTTGCTCTTGGATAAAACACTACTGATTGACTTTTGGTCTCGAAACTATAAACTAAAAATTACTGCCATACAGGAATGGGGAAATATGTTTAAAGGCTGATTATAAGCTTTATTCACTCCTTTGGGCAAACAGAAAGATATGAAGAGCAGGTCTCAGAATATTTTTTAAGCAGCCAAAGTTACCAGGTCTTTTTCAACAGTTTGTAAACAGGAGATGTGGCTGTCTTCATCCAGTGGTTTAATGTGTCTCTACAAACATCACGGACACTCTTAATGTTGCTGAGTGTATTGCCATGCACAGAATCAGGACACATGTCCTGGCATCCACAGGAATCCATTTCAAAACTCCCAATGGAGTAAACAGATAGGGAATCACATCACTATACAACAACATGCTATTTAAATATAATAATTTGCACCGAAATAATGTCAAATGCACACAAAAGTTGAATCTCTTGTTAGATATCCCAGCTCTATACAGTACTTACAAACAAACAAATAGTAAAACCCCACAAAACCAAACTGCAGCTGTAGAAAAAGCATGATATCCTACATTAACAGGTGATTTTAACCTACTGATGGTATATCATAGGACAAACACGACGATATTTTCCATCTACTGCCAGTTTTGTCACAGCTTTATCTTATGATCAGGAGCGTTAATACCTCTTCTATTCGCGCTCTTTTAGAGATATGAAGATAAATGCAGAAAAGGTTGGCATGCTGCATACTGGCCAATCTCAGCTGAACCGTTACATATATGCTGCCCGCTATAATTTACTGTACTGAGTGGGCAGACACACTGGAAGTCAAAATACTGAGGGCTAAAAAAAGTCATTCTCCCTCTGAACTGTTCCCGCATCAAGTTCAGGATAAAACAACGGGAAAAATCAGCATTTTTAATGCAATACAGCTTCAAAAAAATAAATTAATAATATAAACTGCCCGACTATGTTGGAGTAAGATGGCAGGTATGCATGAGGGATCCTTTTTATAATGGGAGACTCAAGATATTGATTAATACAGTAAGCGAAATATTGAAACAGAATTCCAGCTCAACTCAACAGAAACCCTGAATTAACTGTACCTCTGAGGGAACACATATATTGCAGTATTCTCTTGTATTCCTAACAGGCCAGATTCTCCACTGCTTGAAAAACGTCCTCTTTTTCAGAAATTATCTGAACTCTGTTGCCATTATTCAGGCAGTTTTGCAACAAAAAAGATGCACGTTGAACTTTTTGAGAACTATGGAAACAGATATGTGGCAGTGAATAAAGTTTTATTACATTCTGTTTATGCTGGAGCTATCGGCAAACTGCCTCTGAGAATTTCTAAAAGAGCTTTTAAAAATTAAGGCAAATTCTATTTTATTCATTTTTTGATAAATTGTCTTGGACTGAAATTTTGGATTTCTGTAACAGCTACAGAATATTCTTAAAACCTCAAATTCCTGCGGTGTTTTCAGGCTGCTAGAGGAGACACCATTTTCAAGTCTTCTTTTAGCTTGGAACTGAATCACTGATGGTACCGCACGCAAGCTACAAAATGCAACATGATATTTATTTTCAGACCCAACAAGTACAGAACTCTTGGAACATCGCTGAGCCAAAATGATTTCTAGCAGGTGGCTTCGATATATTTACATAAAGCGTGCTTAACTCTTACTCGAGTTTTAACAGACAACGCTCAATTTTAGCACTACGGCTTTGTCCTCCTAAGAGTTTTTCTATCTGAACAGCTTCGGCTGCACGGCTGACACCCAGCAAGGGACTGCATACAAATCACTAACATTTCCACATTAATCTCATTTTGCTGAAGAACAAATTAGTCTTGCATCCCTGACAAACAGGCATGTAAATAAGGCAATATAAATCACACTCATGCAAACAGTAAGCCTTGCGTTTAATACTGAAATTACTTGGAATTCTCTGCTTCGACGGAGATGAAGTAGCATTCAAATACTTAATGATACTGGCAGTAGGATCCAAACAAATGCAATGAACGTAACAGCCATATGCCTGAAAGCATTTTATTCAGCGTTGTTTCACGCACTCTTTAAGATCCTTACTTCAAGAAGAGGGGAGCAAAGGGCTTTGTTTGCTTTGTCCTTCTGTTCCTACTTCAGTGCCTCCTGAAAACTGTTCTTTGTGAATGGGTTTGTAAGTAGCTCTAATATAGACCCCTGGCAGAGGTGAGATGAATGTTCCACTGGAAGCACCGGACACCCTTCACTGCCAAAAAGGTGCCCAATGATCAGCTAAGATACTCAGCTCATCCCAGCTAACGCTGCGATGGAAGGAATGCCCGCAATTATTGCGCAGATACAAAGCGCTACTGGAAGGCATGAGTTTGCAAAATCAGAGACTGCTTGAGTCACCTAGATCAGGCAGGTTTTCTACTAAGCTCGCACCTGATCTGACATGCTGAGGTAAAAGAACACCAGGTTTAACCACAGTACTGTGCCCAACTTTCGCAGAGAGAGATCCAGGATTAATCTTCAGGGCGTTCTTCTACAGTTGGCTTCATCTGGCAGAGGTAATGCAGTAGGAACTGAATGACTGCGTGAATGCACACAAATGGGTCTGTCAGGTTGAATACAGCTGCAGTTACCATTGCTAGAGTTCCACTAAATACGGAATATATATTCCTGTGTTACTTGAGAACTCCCGATATTTCTTGGTAATGCTACAAAGATTACCTCCGCTCAGCAACACTGTGCATGGAGAGAGGCTACTGAAAAGCCTTGTGAGAATCTCATCGACACCTGCTCTACTTTCTCCAAGAGACCCTGATAGCTAGTTGTGATCGCTTCTTCTGTTCCTGATAAATTCTGAAGTGTGGGGTGCTGCAGGGAGCCATGCTGTCACCCCTTCTGTTCCACATCGATATGGAGCTATAAAAAGGGTTAGTGAGAAGTCAAGAAAGGTTTCCCCGCCCTCAGTTTATTCATGAATACAAGATGTGTGTCTTTACTGTTAGAGGTTTAGTTCCATTATTGATCAGATGTTAGAGCAGCTACAGCCATAAGATAGAAGCTCTAACATCCAACCAAACATCCACCAAATAAACGTCAGTGCTCTGCGAATCAAAGCCTAAATGAGTAGTAACATGCTATTACCTGCTTGCACCTCATTCAAAGAATTAAGTTAATCACTGTTAATAACCATAATCCGTAACTACCTAAGGATAGAGACCGTTAGAAGTTAGAACATCCTTTCGATGTAAAATTCTGGAAAGAACTGAGAGGTAAAGGAGAGAAGATTATTTTTTTTTCTTTTCTTTTGGAAGTACATAGAGAAACTCCAAAAATTATCATTACAGCTTCATTAATAACTTAATGTATTGCAAATTCCTAAATGCCACATAGGCGTATCAGATCAAAGGCATCCAAGCTCACGGATAACTTTGGGAGTCTTTCTGCTTCCTGCTCTGTAGCCATGGAGTCTAAGGCCCCTTTGAAATCCCAAGGCTTCCTAAGCTGCATAGCTAACCTGGGAGCAAACTCCAGAATGCCAGTTGCCTGCTTGCTTACACAGGTTTTGAAAGGCTACCTTGTCTGATATGGTTTGAATCAGAACATAGAGACTCTCTTGCTGTTGCAAAACAAGCTGGCGGTTTCCACACAGATTGTGTCTGCCGATATTTTTGACCTATTCTACTTAATATAGTCAGAGTACGAAAGAGGCTCAAAGAGAAAGTATTTATTACAACCCTCCTCCACACCAGCAGCAGCCCCTACAGTTATATTACAGGCATTCACTGTGCTGAGTATTGTAGGGTAAATTGTGAGTTTGATTGAATTGTTTGTCCCCAAGATATTCAAGACAACTTTTATAAGGAGACAGAGATCAATCAGACAGTGTTAATGGACTAGTGAAGTTTTTCAACAGATTCTAAGTTACCCGTTATAGGCTCCTTGCCATTTCACAAAATACATTATAAAAAGTAGGTTTAAAATGAAATTTTCTGATACCATATTTATATTCATTTTAAAGCTAATTCTAGTATGTGCTCTTTACAGTTACCATCCTTTATAATGAATTCTACCCCAAGGACCTTCAATGAGAGGAGCAATTGGCTTGCAATACAGAGCGCAGATGGATCAACAGCAGGATAGATGTGTGTGTGATCTGGAAAATGATAGATTTTCATTTTCTTAGGTAGACAGCAGTGCCCAGATATCTGGAGAAGACGGGAGCTTTCCAGATTTGCGTGAGGAGTGTCAGACTTGCATTAATGTTTGCCAGTTTCACAGTTTGAGCTAGAGACAGTAATCTACTTGAAAAAATATCTGCAAAATTAAGGAGCCAAATCAGCCTGTGATTTTACTCCAAGGATTGTTTATTCAGTTAGTTCAAACATGGCAGGTGATCTACAAACATGTATTTATTACTAGGCAGGATTCTATATTTGCATGTGGTAGTAAATTCTTTTAACCCAAATCATTAAGAGTCTGGAGAGCATTCCCGATCTCTGCAACATACTTTATATGCCAACTCATACATTCAGTGAAGGAGGGGAAAAAAAGTATGACACATTAGTTCTGGAAAATAGCAAAGCTGACTATTTTATTTCTCTCAGTTTTTAAAAGAAAAATGATGTTTAGCTGTAGCAGGATGCCTATGGCAATGGGAAAGCAATGAGAGCTTGACAGACGGCAAAACGTTTAGATTGTGGCAACAGAGACTCACGTGAAGAAACAACTGCCAAAGCTTCCTTGGGAGCGG